TTTTCTTGTTTCCCAAGGATAATGCTACCTTGGCTATTAAGAACATAGATGATTTTTAAAATATTTTCAACTATGTAAATAGAATTATACTGTACATACTTGTTTTCTATCTGACCTCTCTTGCTCAATATTACTGCATTTTGAAATTTTCCATATTGTTGCTTATTGTCATTCTTCATTTTTGTTTATTCTCATTGCTGTATAATATATATAGATTAACATAGTCTTTGATACATTCTATTCCTTATGAGCATTTGGACTTGCAATTTTGAGTGTTATGAATAGTGATACTATTAATATTCTACTACATGCCTTTTAAGGAGCTCTGGTAAGTGGCACCTAAGGCATCTGTCTTCTAACCAGGTCAGCTGTTCAATCCCACCAGCTGCTTCATGGAGGGAAGATGCGACAATCTACTTCCATAAATATTTACTGCCTCAGAAACCCAATGGGTGTTGTTATGAGTCAGAATCGACTCCATGGCAGTGAGTTTGTTTTTTGTTTGCATGACTTTTGGTCAACATAAGTATAGGTATATTTCAGATATATGCCGCAGGAGTAGAAATGCTTGTTCATGATACATGGCTATAATCGACATTAAGAAATATATTCAAGGGTTTTCTAAAATATTTATCACAACTATCAATGGGCAAGAGCCCTGACCACTGCATATGTTTGGTATTTCCCTTCTTTTTAATTATAGTGTTTCTTACCATACAATGAAATGCAAACATTTTAAGTGTATGGTTGAATGGGATTTGCCAAATGTATATTTCTATGGGCAATGATTTTTAAGATATTTTTATTTTGATTTGCTATTGTGGTTTTCTCCATTTCATGGAAAATGCTTATCCATTTTATGTGCTAAATAAGATTTGACAACAAAATATTATGATTATCCTCTTTATACATTAATTTGTGAGAGTTTTTTATTACCTTAACAGCTTTACTGAGATATGACTGACACATAATAAACTCCCTATATTGAAGACGTACAGTTGATTTTGTACATAGGCTTTGTTATATGTATTTTGAAAACAAAATAGCCATAAAACTACCACCACAATCAAAATAATGAACATATCCTTTGCCACAAATTTTTCTCTTCCTCCTTCTGGTCCCATCATGCTGCACCACTTCCCCTTACAGCCAACCACTGATCTATGTTCTGTCATTATAAATTAGTTTGAATCTCCAAGAGTTTTACATAAATAAAATAATAATCTATATTAACTATTTTACCATACTTCACTCAATTTCATATTTGAGATTTATCCATGTTGGTGCATATAATAATAATTTGTTCTTTTTTCTCATTCAATAGTATTTTACTATATAGATATGCCATAGGTTATTATTATTATTATTCACTTGTTGATTTATATTGGATTGTTTCTAGGTTTTAGTTATGACTAGCCTATAACACTTGCCTGCATGTATTGGAACAAGAGAAAATATAAACATGTACTCCACCACTCCAAAAAATTGATTAATTATTATTTCATTACCAGAGCTCCTTTATAATAAATATTTATACTAACATTTTTCCACATATATTTTACAAATTCTGTTCAGAATGAACACTTTATTCATGGTTTTTAACTTTTATTGGTTTTGAACTAACTACAAAATGTCCAATAATATGGAACATAAATTGTCTGTGTATTCATTCTTCCTTTTCTCTATTTGAATCTATTTGAATTTATGACATCTATTGGAAATCTAAGGAGCTCTGGTGGCATAGTGCCTAAAGCATCTGACTGCTAACCAGAAGGCTGGAGATTCAAACCCACCAGCCACTCCTTGGAAGGAAGATTCGACAATCTAATTCCATAGTGATACTGCCTTGGAAACCCAAGGAGGGGTTACTATGAGTCAAAATCAACTTGACGGCAGTGAGTTTGGTTTTTGATTTGGTATTGGAAATCTAACTTATTTAACTAGATTGATTAAGTCTGAATATCTCTGAGAAAATCTTATTATAAATGTTTTATAACATTAAATAATAATAGTAAAACACCTACTACCACTTAGTTGAAACTGACTTATAAATATATTCACTATTAAAGGTAACTCTTTGAATTACTCAGGAGATCTTGAAACATTTGAGTCAGTAACATGTTTCTTTAATTACTTCCGTACTTCTGTTGTTGTTGTTATTTGCCATCGAGTTGGCCCCGACTCATAGTGACCCCTCCTTAGGTTTCCAAGGCAGTATCACTAAGAAGTAGGAATGCCCAACCTTCCTTCCGAGGAGTGGCTGGGGGGTTTGAACCGCCAGCCTTCTGGTTAGCAGTCAAGTGCCTTAGGCACTATGCTACCAGAGCTCCTAGTTTTATTTAAACTTTTTCTTTCTACTCACCAGATTTCTGAATATTTCCATCATCAATACTGCCCCCTGGTGAATCAATCTGGAATTCACAATCTGGAGGCCTGTAGCCCAGAAAGCATTGACAATTACCAAAATTATTACATATCTGAGATAGAAAAGCACAAACCACTGTTAGGATATTATTATTACTATAAAATTTTATCTTTGTCTTTTTACATTATATGAATATATTAATTATATACTATTAAAAATTACATTGTTACAAATCAAAAAACAAACTCACTGCTATCAAGCCCATTCCTACTCACTGCAACCCCCATTACTATTTGCCTTAAAATTATTAAGTCCATGTAATATTGTAAGAAGGTTTTAAAAAAGGAGTGGACATCTTCACAACAGAATAGTGTGAGTGGCAAAATCACTACCTACCTGAAAGCCTGTTTCTGGCCTCTACACACTGATGTTAAGAGCTCTGGTGGTGTAGTGCCTGAGGCATTTGACTGCTAACCAGAAGGCTGGCGGTTCAAAAACCCACCAGCCGCTCCTCGGAAGGAAGACTGGGCAATCTACTTCCTAGAGATACCACCTCAGAAACCCAAGGAGGGATCACTATGAGTCGCGATCGACTAGATGGGCAGTGAGTTTGGTTTTTTGGTTTTACACATCGATGGTTTTGATCAGTACTTTGTCATCTTTAATCATCATTAATCATCTCTCTAAATGCAAATTAAGAAAAAAGTTATGACCATCACACACATATCATTTGTGTAGATTTAGATTTTTCCACAAATATCCTCTCATTTAGTTCTTTTGAAAATATTTGCTGTCACTACTTTAACATGGGAGTTCTGGTAGCATAGTGTCTAAGGCACTTGACTGCTAACCAGAAGGCTGGCGGTTCAAACCCACCAGCCACTCCTCGGAAGGAAGATGGGGCAATCTCCTTCCTTAGTGATACTGCCTCAGAAACCCAAGGAGGGGTCGCTATGAGTCGGGTCTGACTCAACGGTACATAACAACAACAACAACAACACTTTAACATTTCCCATTTATGCACTTTATTTTCTATACAAAGTATTTTGGCAAAATAAATGTCGATTTACTTGGCAACTTTAATTTCTTATCCTAGTCCCTTTTCAGTATTTGGTATTATTGGTCAATTATTTTTTTTATTGGCATTTAATTTTGTAGTTCATGTATTTTCCAAAATAAAATAACATAGAGGAAAAATAAATATTGAAAATGGCAATAAAATAAAACGTCATAAGCTTGTTTTTCTAGCTGTTTGCATTCTAGAAGGTTTCCATGTTATTTCTTCATTTAAATTTCAATTTAAAAAGTAATTGCTGTAAATTTGACTCTCACTCATGGTGACCCCATATGTGTCAGAGTACAACTGTGCTCCACAGAGCTTTCTATGGCTGATTTTTCAGAAGAGCACCACCCTTTCTTCTGACATGCCTCTGGGTAGATTCAAAGCCCCAACCTTTCAGTTAGCTACTTAACACATTAACTGTTTGAACCACCCAGAGACTTCTAAACACCAATAGTTTAGTATTAATTTTCATTTCAAAGTAAAACAATTATACACATTTTCAGTAAAATTCAAAAAATAAAAGTACATATAACTAAGACTCCTCACCTACATTCAATTCCACTCCTCACTGCTAAGCATTTTCTGTGTTCCATTTATACATATGCAATGATAAACAAACACAAAAAATACACAAATTCTTGGGAATTTTTTTCCCAAAGTAACATCAAATATCACACTAGGACTTTATCCTCATATGTTTGTGTGAATATATACAAGGATATAGTACTAAAAACACATATTTATAATATTCAGTATTAGACATGTTGTTGTTGTTAGATGCTGTCAAGTCAACAACTCATAGTGACCCCATGCACAACAGAACAAAACACTTTCGGTCCTGCACCATCCTCACAATCCTTGCTATACTTGAACCCATCATTGCAGCCACCATCTCAATCCATCTCGTTAAGGGTCTTCCCCTCTTTCTCTGACCCTCTACTTTACCTTGCATAATACCCTTCCCCAGAGAATTGTCCCTTCTGAAAACATGACCAAAGTAGGTGAGACGCCATTCCAACTTGTAAGAAGCACTCCAGATGCACTTCTTCCAGACAGATTTGTTCATTCTTCTAGCAGTCCATGGTATTATCTGTATTCTTTGGCAACACCACAAATCAAAGGCATCAGCTTTTCTGTCTTTCTTATTCGTTGCCCAACTTTCAGATGTATATGAGGTGATTGAAAATACCATGGCTTGCATTAGGCACACCTTAGTCTTCAAAGTGACATCTTTGCTTCTTAACACTTTAAAAAGGTCTTTTGCAGCAGATTTCCCTAGTGCTATATAACATCTGGTTTCTTGACTGTTGCTTCCAAGGGTGTTGATAGTGGGTCCAAGTAAAATGGAATCCCTAACAACCTCAATCTTTTCTCCTTTAGGCCATTGGGATTGAAAAAAATATGCAACCTCTGTGCAGACTATTCAGTGAACAAAAGCAGTGATCAAAATGCACAAGTCTTATTTCATAAGACAAGGTCCCTTTTAACCACAGTGGCACAAGTAAGTCCCACTGAAATAACAGGATGCCATTTCCACATCTCACTGTTATGGGTTTGAGAGAAGGTGAAAAAAGCTACTATGCGAAATGCTGAATTTTACTAGACTTTTCTTCATCAAGCACTTCTCAAGATGTTGCAAATGCTTGGGTTCCAAGATAGTTGCTTCAGACAGTTTTCATCAGCTCAATAGCTATTTCAAAGGACATAACAATTGTTAAATTTTTCTCTTCTGGATCTTAGGTAGTATCACTTAACCCCAGACTTTTAAACCCCAAATTAATCAATCATTGAGTGGAGGCTGCCCTGAGAATGAGATCTGACTTTAGAGAAGGTGGTTCTCTTCACTTGAAGAAATTCCCAAAATGTACTGATGAATGAGGGCTATCTGTTCACTTTATTACTCATAATTAGCTCAGTATTTCTAAAACTGAATCTAAGCATATCATAACATCCTCTATAACTAGTAAGGAAGTGGTACAACCAAAGGGCTCATATTCTGTTCACAGGTCTATAAATTGATCCGGAATATACTAAGGCTAATTATAAAAATACCCAACATTTCCTCCTAAATTTACTCTCAGGATCTTATATTTGTTCACCATATACATGTATAAAATATACATAACAACACTATTCATAGTTTTTAAAATACACAGGGAACTGTGTAGGCATCAAAAATAGAGCACCAACATAAATTACTTATATTCATGTACAATAATAGGAGCTCTGGTGGTGTAGTGCCTAAGGCCTTTGGCTGCTAACCAGAAGGCTGGAGGTTCAAATCTACCAG